GGATGCAACATTCCACTTTCAAGCGATTTCAGAAAATTGCCTTAAAATTTACAGAGTTTCAACAATACGGTTCCATGACTCAGGTGTTAAAATCCATTGTAACAAAACCTTTTGTATTTTCTCCATAAAAATAAACCAATATAGGGACACTGCAGTTATCCATGTCAACAACATACGTCTGTTGAATAGCAGGATACTAGGATTCCTCTAGGACAGTATAGTAGCGAAGCTGCAAATCTCAATACGGAAGGTGGAGAAAAGAAGGACAGAAGTAAAACTACTATTGCTTTAACATATTTTAGTGAGAACAAGAAGTCAGGAATCTCATATGGATGTTTGTACAATCATGCTACAAAGATTACACCTTCAGGAAATTACCACAACGGGACTGTGAATGGGAAGGGCAGAAGGGAAAACACACATAAAAGTAAACATCTCCTACTTGACTATTGGTAAGAAAAATGCTTCGGTGCAACAGATTTAAATTACATTTTACACTGCTAACAACCCAAGTTTAAAAAAAAAAGGTTCCTTTTAAATAGTAGATTTCATAATTCATATTTACCAGGTTGTCTAAAAAAGCAACGCATCGCTTCTCAGCTGTACTAGGACTCTTTCATTCACTGGTTCTCGCATTTCTGCCTTTGTTCAGATTTGACAGACCGATCCTCATCTCTAACGGAGGAGACATCAGAGTCACACGTCTTGCAAACAGGAAAGCAAACTCCAAGGGATGAGAGCTGGAACACGGGCTTACAGCTACTCATGGCCACAATATTTTTTCAGGAAATAGCTTATTTCTTCATTTTGTTAGATTTTCTGAAAAGAAATAAACTTGATGGAAGCCACACAGATAATTTTTTTTTTTTTTAATTTTTATGATTATGGAAATTCTAGCTTGATGCTGGGTATCAAAGGTTGCACAAAAGGCCACTGAGATACTTGGCAGACACAGTTATCACCTGAAATCAGGCAGCAGCAAGTCTCACAAGTGCCTTGGACTCCAGAGTCTGCCCTGAATTGCTAGATGAGCATTCAGTGACTGGTATTTAGTTGCATTTTTAATTACTGTTTTTTAGTGCTGGTGAAAGGTGCTGATCAGAAGTTCTGGAGATCTCTTCCTAAAAAAAAAAAAAGGCGTCAGGGGCATGCTAAACTCCTCTCAATATGCTTGAGAACGAGACATTTCTGACTCTTCTCGGGTAAGCAGGGGGAAATACAGCTGCATCTCTAAGTAAGTATGAGAAAGTGCTCTTTAAGTGCCACTTACAATTAATTCCCTGGATTCTCTGCAAAGATCAAGAGAAAAACAGAGACATAGTTGACAGTACCTTGCCCATTCCAGGACTGATTTTAGACACCTCCTTTTAATGTCCGCTGTACAATAAATATAGGCCTGCTCTGGAATACTGGTCTGACAGTAGAAAGCAGGAAACATGTATCAGAGAGAACTTGTGTTAACCGACAGGATAACAGTGTGGATTTGAGGTGGTAGGACCATTTTGCTAAGCAGCAGTGGGAAGACTAAACCCTTCAGTACTTTGATGGAACTGTAACTGTGCAATCTATTGAACCAAGAGCTTACCCTTGCTGCTGTTCATCTGGTTCAGTATGTCCTGAAAGAGTTAAAACACCACTAACATAAGGAACCGACAAGCTCAAGAATTTAGGTTGTGTGAATTTCGAGAGAGCAGCTGCATTTTTTCTATCACAACAATACGTTATGCAAAGAATCCAGCTACATCTTTACACAACCAACCTGCCATTACTGCCATCTTGTTCAGACAGTAGAAAAAGAGGATTCCCAAACACCCTCAAGTTCCTAAGCAAAGCAAAAGGGACTCTCTGGGCAACAAGCAGCACTGCATTACTTGGGTTGGCCTTGCAAGATTGTGTCAGTCTCAGAACACAGAGCTGCAGTTTAACATTAACAGCATTGTCAAGTGCTCATGTTTTTGGTGTTCAGTAGAAACAGATGAGGGTGCACTAGATACTGACAATCACAGCCAGTTAAGGATTTCAGTGACTGTTGTATTTAACATTTTATACAAAACACAGACAAATGCCTACCATAAAAGGGCCGAGGAAAAGATGACTCTCTCCCTAATCTTACCAAAAATGTACTTATTAAAGTGCCATCTGCAAGAGAACAAAACAGACACACTCAGCTTTCTTCATTTACATTTAAAACAAGCACAAGAGCATCTGTGAATTCCAATATATTGGACTCCTCCCCTCACCTAGTCTCTGGCAGGCAGTGATCTACAGTCAAGTCTGATGCAGCTTTCTCATTGCAACATCAGGCAAAAATAGATCTTTTTACTATTATCCAGAACATTCAGGAGAGTAATTACAGCTAAGTTTTGAAAGGATCATTAACTTTGACTTATGAGAGGCAATGCCTCCCCCGTTAAGTACATTTCAAGGTTCCATAAGGAACAACCTGTATTATCAGTCTCCTTTCATATCATTCTTTGAAACCACTGTGTTTTCTTTCTAAATAGATTGTCAAAGCACTCAAATCCTTGGCTTTTAAGTCCCTGCACACAGAAGTACAATTCCCATAGATGCAACCCACCATAGCCCATTTCATTTAGACAATTAACAGAGTTGGCATACTACACACTAATTCGACATCCAACTTGTTTTCTGTAGGTTTTCACCTCACTAATGAATTTTACATGATTGAGATCTCCTGGTTGAGAGCCAATATACTAGCCATAGGTTGTCCACGGAATAGTAGGAATCTATGGAAAGCTTGGTTTAAACAGAACATAACAACCAAACAATAGCTTAGTATCTTGAATTAATCGACTGGAGAAGTGATACAGAACTACTTATGTCAGAGAAAAATATTTCTGTCCCAGAATCACTCTTGCCTGTACCACCAATAGCATGTGATTTTCTGCTTTGCTAACCTCACTGGTGCTCAGACTTTTCCCTTAATGTTACTTTATGCTCAAGGGATAGGAGGCACTTGAAAGCAGTCGCTCTGCATCCTCCACTTGTGCAGTAAGCACAAAATAATTGAGATCAAATATCGAAGTATTTGTTTTCATAAACTTTGGAAAAAATAATGCTTCTGGGGGCTTGACACCCAACATAACCGAATGTTAAGCAGGTGAAAGATGATAAACTGTATCTTCTGATTCACAGGCTACAGTGACAAGTCTCAGGGTTTTATTTTGTCTTGCAAATAAACTTGAACCAGCAAGTACAGTTAGCTCCCTGCCACTGTGTCAGCAGGGGCTGGCAAAAGGGCACCAAAGTCTCTCACTTCCTTCTCTGTATGGAAGTGCCATTTACACTACAGAACATCTCACCCAGGAGGATTTTCATGTCTGTTCAGTCATTAACCTTTCAAGTGACTTCTTTGAAAAGAAGCTATTTTAAGTAGCATTTCCCTGTTCCAAAACAGCCTCTAGTGATTTCAAATGTAATTTCATATGAAGAATGACAATGGATTATGCCCAAAGCAATGCTGTAGATCCAGAAGGTAACCCGACCGGCTAAGCAAACAGGATATAGGCTTTATTTAGAATCCACTGGAGCCTACGAGATTCCTTCACTTGCTTTTGATGAGTTTGGAATGAGCACCCAATTCCACAAAAGAACTTCAAGCAGTTTTACGGATGGAAGGACTGACACTGGATTCTCTTCAGGTTTTCCAACAGTAGCAAAAGCTACCTGGCTATTTAGACTATTAGCTCCTTTATACATGCTCTCTTTTCATCATCTTAGCATAACAGATTGCATTCCTCTAGGAATAAACTGCATTTGCCATTTAGTATAGCCTATGGAGTCATTTTGTGACTTCACTTTCAACTCATTCTCTTATGTCTTTTTTAAAGCACAATTCTACAGTTGCAAAAGATGCATTTTTAAGCTAAGCAACAGATGCATTCATCTTTTACTCATGCCATCTACACAAGAATGAGACTTTGAAGTGTTAAGGGGACTACAGAAAGTGCTAATATCACAGGTAGCTCCCTCTTAGTAACACAGCATATTATGTAATTAAACAGTACACGACAAGTCTGTGTACATATTTTTGTATGAGTATCTAACGCTGTGAATGCCATTATATGCTTCTGCTAAGAAAATCCTAATTTTCATTTCATTCTGCATAAGTGTTTTCCAGTTTAAGACGAAGTGCTATTGTAAAAAGCAATAGCCTAATTGTTTGGCTAACACTGTTCTGACGTCTAGATCAAATCTGCCTGTGGAACACACTACTCTCAGCACTGCTGCTAAATACAGAAAAACTGACCTTCGAGTCAAATCAAGCTTTCTGTCAAAAATCCCACATTGACAAAATGTGAGCTTGAACTGTGTTAGTCTCTGTTCTCTGATATTACAAGAGGTGATGGAATAAAGCTGTCCCTAGTGAATTCCTATCAAATTCACAAGGCAGTGCTTTTCTAGCTCCATGTTGAGAAGCAGCCTGTAGAAGAATATTTCTGAATGTCCAGAATGACAAAACTTTTCAAATTCTGTTCTGTATCTGACAGTGCTTTCAGTGTCAGCTTCACTGTTTCACAGCAATTGCTTTTCCCAACTTGCCTTTCCTGCATAAACTGACAAGATTCAAGTTTGCCAGTGTCCTACTATTTATAATGCTGCCTCCAGTTGCAGGTGAATACTCATTAGGTGGAAAGACAATTTTGATAGTTTCTGACATTTACATCAAAACTCAGCTGGTACACCCTTACAGACCAGCTACGGTTGTCATGTCTTCATTGGGAGAGCACTGCAGAGCATTCATCCGAGTAGCTATGTTATCATCGAAGATTTTTATCTTGCCTAATCCACTCAGCTTTGATTGAAATGTAGTACCGTAGAGCGATCCACTATTCAAAACAGAAACAGAAGCCCTTGGGCACATCCCCAAAAGATACAAGATCGACAAGTGCCAAACCTTAGCCTCTACGGCACGGTTTCTTTCCTTTTAAATCCATCTTTGTGCATTACATTAGGGAATAATTTCAGAGAAACAGCTTTCATTTGGATAGACCAGCTTTTCAAACTCATCTCGCTCCTTCAACAAGACCTGACAGTACAAAGCAAATACACTTCGGAAAAAAGACTGCTTTGCACTCCTTTCAAGAACTCGCAGGAACACAGGCCAAACGCAAAGAAGCTCCAAGGTACAGGCTAACCACAAAATCTTGCTCATATTATTTGCCAATCAAGCAAGCTACAAAGTGTGAAACCATTTTATTTTGGTTTAGATAGTAAGTCTTCTGAAAGGAAATCATTTAATTGGAAGTGTCAATCCCAAGTCCATTACAAATCATTTTTTCAGGAGTCGTCTACCTCCTGGGAGCTTAAGTCATGCACGTATCTTCTTTCTGAAACCTATTACCATTCTGTTAGCTAACACAACTGCAGGATAAACACAAATTCAGTCATATTTTAAAAATAAGGCCTACCATAGTAACAACTGCCTCTAGCATCAGAAAAGTGTAAGGAAATTGTGCAACAAGTATTTGTACTTCACAGCACCAGAAAATTCTGCCCAGGTAACCAGGTGTAGAGAGCCAAGGCAACAGTTAATTCCGGCAGGCCTTTACCACCAGGGAGCCTGCAGTGTTACTGTGATTTGTATCAACGAATAGATCCTGCTTTGGGCATATGGAAGTGGATCACATATCAAAAGTAAGAATTAGGGAGAAAAACCTTACTCAATAGAAAGTTAGCCCAATATATAAAAAACATACAAATGTTTAAACAGTTTAGAGGCAGCAAAAACAGGAATGATAAAGATTCCTGCCAAGGTGGCTGTTAACATCAGTGTCTTTTTCCCCACCTTGTTTTGCACTTGCATCTATTAAACTAGTTGGATGTGCTGCCTCAGCTAGCTGACAAACATATGGACATATGTAGCAACTTAAAAGCCTGCAAGCTTATTAATACAGTCAACAAATATTTAGAACTAGAAAGAAAAAGAAAACCAGAACCCAGAAGGTCCAAGAGGCTCAGCACGTCTCTGCATTTGAGAGTCTTGGAGAGACAGGAGACACCTGCCACGGATTCTTGTAACAGTTTCTTGTAACAGTAGATGCAAAGCAACAACAGATACTGGCCACTTGACTCGTGTTGTTCTTACTTTAGAGGGGAGAGGAAATTATACAGCCCTGCCTCAATGTGGCATGAAGCAGTAATGTTACACTCTTAAAATCTCCAGGCAGTTGTTGTAGCAGATAGCTATCCAGTCTGGCTGAGTTGATGCCCACTGTACATTGTTGATTTCTCCCTCTGCTGTATAGGCCAAGATAGGGTCCTCAATGGCACGAGGCATTTGCTGGATATCCCAGATGAGAGCCTGATGGTCATCCGCTGCAAATGGAAGAGAAAATCATAAGTAAAATCAAGGTATAATGAGATCTCCATACGCGACTACTAACAGGCATATAGTCCAAGAAGCTGTATAGGATATGGCTGTTGCAATCCCGATGTGTATTCAAGCCAGAGATACAATGATAGAACTATGCTCCAAAAAAATAAGCTTGGATCATTATACATTATCCAGGACAGAGCTGAAAAACAAATGATCAGTGCAACTCATATCAACTGAAACCATTTAAGAACTAGATTGCAAAAAAATAAGGAGCATTAAAATAATACAGCTTAGCTGAAGCAGATGCACAGTTTGGGCACTGGGCTCACTAATTCCACACAATAAGCTCCAGTAGGTGTCTATTTCCATAAAAATTTTAGGAAAGTCATTAATAAAGGGCTTCTAAACTGCAGGTATTCTTTAGCAAAAGGCAGGCAGAGAACTGCATAAACTTTTGAAGAGAGAGGATTTTGCAAATGCAGTGAGAGACTCTGAGATCACCAATGCAGCCGGATAGGGATGGATCACACCTACCTGCTGTGCAAATGTGGCAGGAAGAATGAGGTGCCCAAGCAATTCCATTTACACACGCTCTGTGGTTGTTTAACCTGGCAACAGGAGTGCAGGGAACTCTGACATCTAGAATCACAACCTTCAGGAACAAAAACCAACTAAATTAATAACTTGCTTTTTTTTTTTTTTATTTGTTTCTTCAGAAAACCAAATATTTTGAGCCAAGGCTATAAATACAGCCCTTTTGTAAAGGACGCGGTTGGCAAGAAAGCACTGTTCTCAAAGAATAGCTTCTAGCTGGTGTGTCTCAAAAGCAGTCAGACCCCACAGGGAAGGCTTGTGAGTTATGCAACAAGGGCAAACGAATTACGCTTCCCTGAAGCGGCAAAAGTGACAAACTGAGATACGCTACCTCGTGTGAAGGTGACTAAAACACTTGCAGTTAAGATTACATGTGAAAATTATTGCCCAACTGGCTCACAGGCCCCTCTTAAAAAACAGCTGAAATATATACGAGCCATAGAGATCTTCAAGTTTACAATGCCAAAGTTAAAGAAGTAACTCCTACCGAAGTTAGCGCACTAAGAATTGGTCCTTAATCATGCTCCAGTTCAGGTACTGGCACTGCCCCCTTACTTTAAAGAACTGACTTCTAATTACTACCAAGCCACCTCCCAAAAAAATCACAACCACTAGCACCTACAGAAGATGAGCTGCCGCCTTACCTCCATGCCGTCCATGGCCATTGTAGCAAGATAGTTGGGATCCTGCTTATTCCAGCAGAGACGCAGCAATGGATGGTGCTGTGGGTCCTCATAAATTATGGTGCTGTGTTCCAGATGACGGAGATCGAACATCCTCACCGAGCCATCTGCGCCAACTGAAGCGAACATATCTCTCCCGCCACCTGCACGGCTAAATGCTATGTCATACACCTGCGCAGTAACAGGACAGAGAAAAACATAACCTTAGCTTTAGTGAGCACACTGCCTCCTAATTTGCAGTAAAATGGATTTTACATACGTATAGCAGATTGAGTTGCGACATATTCTGTCAAATACTTGATGTTCCTAGCAAGTTTTCAGTTATTACACTTGCCAAATGGAGGGGGAAAAACTTGAAAGGGTTATGTCATTATAGGATCATTCACTGAAACTAAACATATCAATTTCCCAGACTCAGATTTTTTAATATTAATTGCTGAAGTCATATTATGTTAAAATGAAAGAATCTTCCAAGTTATTTATTGCCTTTGATATGCCGTTTCAATTCCAGTTTGACATTTTACCTCATTTTTCTAAAATATTCTGGAGCATAATCTAGTAAAACAAGTGTATTCTCAAATCCAGATGCTATGATGAGTAAACAGAGTAGTTTTGATAGCCAATAGTATAGTTTCAGTTTGGTACTCAAACCCGTATATCTTAATCTTAGATAAATTATCTTTTTGTATCATCAGATTTTTCAAGAAAAAGGGAGAAAACAGAAAATTTCTGTTCCTTTTCTACTGCTTTAAAAATATGCAACGTAAACAATCAAAAGAAAGCCGTCACCTCTTTGTCATGTGCAATAAGCTGGGTCTTCACATGGCCAGAGACCAGATTTACTCTTCCCAGAACCTGTCCTGTCTCCAGACCCCAAATAGTGCAGGTTGTGTCAATACTAGAGGTACCTGAAACAAAAACACTTCTGTTAGCAAAATTAATATTCTCACAAATTATTTAATCACTTACTGGATTAATGGAATATCCCCCGACATCTACAGATCAAAATAGCTACAAGAACAGCATACAATTAAAATCAAGAATGTCAAACAGCAAACAGTCTACCATGCATTTAAATGACCCAAACCTTTTAGCTGCAGAAATAGTCTTCCACATAGGAATAAAGTGTAAATAGCTCGTCTACTTCAATCTATTCAGAAGCCTGATGCAACGCTGAGATGAACTTTCCCATCCTGTAAGACTCATGTGCACATCAAAACCAAAATACAATTGCAGTGTTGCGATAGCGTATTATTATTAATTAACTGTTTCTGTGGACTGAAGGTGGGGTAGCAGCAAAGCTCTTAAGAGACTGGAGATGCAACACGCAAAAAATAAATCATGTAGTAAATAATTACTAAGACATATTATCACTGTTAATCTCTGGGCAAATCCCCCTGACATGAATGGCTGTACTCTTCTGGGAAACAAACTGCTGCTGGATCAGTCATCTTGGATTCACAATTTGTCCCACAGGCTATAATTAAACCTTAACCATTCAGCCCCCTCCTCCAACTGAATTAAGGGCTCCTGGCTTTACTCCTGCTGCTAAAATGGCTTCACAAAAGAAAAAGCTTGGTACATAGTTTTCTATCCACTCCAGAAAGAAGCAGAAATAACATCTTTACTTAGCACTACAACAACAGCTCACCAGCCCTGAAGACTGAGACTCCCTGTCTGCAAATAAGGATCACCCCTAATTCAACTTAAGTGACCCATTCTGTACCAGACAGGGCACCTTTCAATGCAAAAACAGTCTCCATAAGATGGTCGGTTTTTTGTTATTGTTGTTTTTAACCTAAGACAATAGCAGTTTCTATAAGGCAGAAGTTTGTCCACTGGTCAGTTATCAAATTAACCAGTGACATGCAATGACACAGCAGTCAGTCAGAGCCGAGACTTCACCAGACTAAATTCAAAAGCATGCTTTTTCCATGCTGAAAATGTAGCATTTTGTCAGTCTCACCTAGAAGGTAAGGATCCACTTCATTCCAGTCAAATGATGTTAGTGGAGCACAGAAATCAGAGTTCTTGTTATTGTTCAGCAAACACTCCAGCCGGGTCTCTGTTTCACCCACCTTTAGAAAAAGTGAAACACCTGACTTAAATAGCAGCATCACATGACTTGTTCCACTTGCACTTCCAAAACATAAGGTGTTAATCCTGGGTTTCTTTCCTCTCAGCTTTACATCCTAAAGCTCTGGAAAACACAATCACCGTCTCTATCTTCAATAAGGTGATTAAAACAGCAACTACCATCAATTCTGCTTCTCCTATAGTCTTCATATTTAGTCACATTATTGCAGTTAAGAAAAAAAATTATCAAGTGCTCGGACTTGATTTTATGTCTTAACCTCCACACTGTAGCAAGGGCAAGACACCCTGAAAGGAAAGTAACTTGCTTCAAAAAATCTGGTCTTGAATGAAAACGAGATCAATACACAACAAAATATCATGGTTTATCTTTTTCTGGGGAGGATTTACTCACTCTCCACACTCGCAGATAGTCACCACTGGTTGCCAGCAGGTCTGGATATACTCCCTTGGTGTCCGGGATCCACATAAGTTTTGTGGTAGGGTAGGGGTGATCAAAGGTGTTCCTGCAAATGAATTCTGAGCTCTCTTCATCCAAACCAACAAGCTGCACCTGTAAGAAGCCATATTTAAAAGAAAGTATTTTATCAAAATACTAATTTAAAATTACAGCATTAAGACTAAGTGTATTTCAGGAGGACACCTTCTGTCACCTCAAGGACAATATAAAAGGACCATCATGTCAATGGAATGAGAAATCGTTAAAACTTTGCTTCCTAACTGGGGCATGTAAGCAAAGTAAAGTATCCGTAATCACCACAGTGCTTTACTTTGAAGAGATGATTTCAAATGAATCGAAATCCAATCCTAAAGGATTAAAGACCCCCCTTCTCCTTACCACATTGCAAAGTCTAGTTTAAATCACAGACTTAAACTGCACAAACATTATTCCAAGTCATCTTTAACTGAACTGATGCTGACAATGTCATCTTCAGAGTGCAGGACAAGCTGTAGCTTGCATGACAACCACCCACAATTAAAGGCCATACGATGGAGTTCTTGGCCATAACCCTGCAGATTGTGACAGATCATGTCAGCTAGCTATCAGGCTGTTTTCAGCATCACATTAACTAAAACATTCTGTCACAACTGCAGAAAATTAAGGTACAGATTCACATCACAGACTCAAAGTAAAACAGAATTCAAACTAAAAAAAAAATTGGGAAGCTAAAATATTTAAATAATTATTCAAATGTTTTGTGTAAAAAGACCACAAAAACAGGTCTGCTGAAAGATTCTAGGTATCTGAATTCCAAATTAGGTTTTTTGCACAGTAACGTGACCGTGGGAAGGGCTAACTTGCCCAGTTGTGAGTGATGCAAGACAGAGCAGACAAGAAACTACCTCCACGTAGCTTGGTCATGACACCACCTGAAGTAATGCTTGAAGTCCCAAATATTACGTTATTAGAAAAATATTGACATGTCAGAAAGCGTTCATAGAACAATATGGTGCTGGGAGTATATGTTTAACCTAGCAGTGACTACAAGACCTGAGCAGGATGAAAGCCCAACTGTGTTAAAATGCTGTTCAAACACAAACATTATGGGGATAACTCACTACAATTAGTTTGTAAGCTGCTCATGATAGGAACTTCCTAGTACTTTCCATACAGCAGCTTCCTCCTGGAAACAGTGGCTTAATGCACTTTTTCTAAGATCTTTATCTGGGAAAATCCTAAATATTCTGGGATAAACAATTTGGTTAATAAACTACACAGTTAAACTAGATCAGAAATCTACCATATTTTTTTCACATAACAAAAAAACAACAAATGCTTCAGTCGATCTTCCACTATAACAAGTTTTGAGTCCATTTAGAGATGCTCTTAAAAAATGCAAACTTGCCCCCTGCCACAATGAGAAAATCCATCCTTTTCACCCCATAACAACGCCTAAAAGACATATCCAAGTATGCTTCTAAGAACCGTGTATTTGTCTGCCTTGTACTCTATTACAGCTGCTTCTTATTATACTTCACACTCTAGTATGAATCAGTCAAGAATCTCCCAGTCTTCTGAAGCAATTGACAAATAGCTTTCTAACTCCTTCGGGGATCAGAAATACTAAGCGGATTTTACAAAGGAAGCAAATTGTCCTTGGTGATAGAAAGTCTTGTGGCAAGGTCAGGATCAGAAGACAAATGACCTCTAATCATTTCTTCTCCCTTGCTTATGCTGTTTTCAGCTCAATGTGAGTGTATTAAGCCTACACAAAGCAATCAATGTACTCATAACCAGAAGCAAATCTCAAACAGCAAAGGACCCGCTTCCATTGGTGTGAATTTATATATTCCTGCACTGCATATTCACGTTTAACCCCTACTCAGATCTGAAGAAAAAGCAATGACTGTGTAGCAACCCGGTATCTTTGTGATCTTGACATTTTTAGGTACAGGCCAGGTTAGAGAACAAAAATTGCATTAGCAACACTAGAACTCCTGGCAACTGAAGATCAGGTGTCTGACACTGATGGTCAGACCTGGCAGCAGCCCGTGATAACTCTGAGCAGGAGGCATCGGTCTGCCCGGAGACAGGAGCAAAAGCAGAAAATACTGCTTGAGAAGCTCTACTCTTTCCTAGCTCAGCATATTCAAAGGAATGACTCTTCTCTTCGGACTTGATCACATACGGTGATTACAGAATCCCTCTATTCATCCTCTTGTGCAGTCTGAACACAAGGAGATGGAACGATGGGAACTATTTTCAGGATGCTGATTGTATTAGAGCCCTGTCCCTCCCTCCTGCAAGTGAGGCAAGATTGGCTGCTGCCAGTTACTGCACGAACGAGTGCCTGAAGTCCAGCCCAGATAAGACGGAGGTGATGCTAACAGGAAAGTCACTGTCAGTCTGGGTACAACTTGAACCATTCTACATCTACCTGTAACTCATTCCAGTGGGAAAATGATGACCAGTGTGTTCAACCTCCATTAGTTTTGCAATTATGCTATGACAGTAGGTAGGAATGCTAAATAATTATGTTTCTCCAATACGTCAAGGTATGCTAAAATTGGATATGGATTTTCCTATCATAATCCAAGCCTTTACCAATGTAAGGCTTATTTGCAACAGTGCATCTGAGTAAAGAAGTGCCTTTAATCAGCATCTTTAACTTCTAAAAAAATTACATCTCTCTTCAATGTGATCCAAAAGAATCAGACAGAATTACACAATGCAGAATTTGGTAACAGCTTACTTATTTTGCTTGCATGGTTTGAGGAACAGTGAAATAAGTTCACAGTATTTTTTTTTTTTTTTAAAACTATATCCCTTTAATCTAATTAGTAACTACTAAGAAGGACATTTCACAATTATTTTAGGGTCACGTACGATCAGAAAGATCTCACACTTCTAAAAAAATTACATCTCTCTTCAATGTGATCCAAAAGAATCAGACAGAATTACACAATGCAGAATTTGGTAACAGCTTACTTATTTTGCTTGCATGGTTTGAGGAACAGTGAAATAAGTTCACAGTATTTTTTTTTTTTTTTTAAAACTATATCCCTTTAATCTAATTAGTAACTACTAAGAAGGACATTTCACAATTATTTTAGGGTCACGTACGATCAGAAAGATCTCACTGCACTAATTAATCTTCAACATGCAATCAATTTTTCTTTGCAGCTCTAAACCTTACAGAAAAAAATGACGCTCTGGTTAAACAACCACCCTGATTCAAGGCACTGTTCAGGAGAAGGCGGCAACCTGGGAAGCGTGCGGTCATAACCTGTCAGTCTGCTCCAGCGATGGGAGGGACCAGTGTACAGCACCACCCTCTACTGTTTTCTAAACAGGACTCCAGTTTTGTCTTGCAGATAGATCCCAAGATCACCCTTCTGTCATGTTTTCCACAGATCATTCCCGATCCATGAAACCATAGTCAGGAACCTGCAGAACAGTGTTAACAGTGAGATTTATGAACGCCTCCATTCCCTCCCATTACGCCGGTGATCCATGGGACGTTATAAAGGCTGACAGCAGTTTGCTAATCCAAGAAGTTCAGGAAACACTACCCCAAATAATTTTAGCTCTTCCAGCTGGAGCAAGTCATCTCTCTTCTTGTACCAGTGATTTGATCAGCAAAGGTGTACAAGCTGAAACAAAACTCCTTTGGGGTTCAAACAGTTCTTGGCAACTGGCTTTCTGGTATGCTATACAGCTTGTTAGTGTCAGCGCTGACAGAGTTTAGAAGAGTCTGGGAATTGGGGATAGCAGTAAATTAGGGTTTGGCAGTCAATAGATTTGAGTTCCCCATGAAACAGAGGTATAAACAGCCATTTTATATATGTAGCCCATGAGTACTTCAAGCTCTGGTAATTACTACAAAAATAGAAAGTCAGAGCCAAACAAGACAAGACTCTCCTCTTTCACTGTAATTCCCTCACAGTGAGCACTTCTGCTGCAACACACACTTGGTGCATTAAGTCTTTTTAAAAGCACCTTTTAAAAGAAACCCTAAAACAGAAGAGTAATAAGGAAAAGGTATATTCACCTATTTGGTTAGATTTTAAGCAAGCTAGAATTGCTATTCCAGACTTTCTTTTTTAAGAAAGCCAGTTACTTGGAACAAACCATTGCAACATCAGGAACAGAAATGTTGTTTGGAGCTTGTCAGAAACCTCTAAAGATTGTAAGTGCAAAGAGAAAGTTGAAATGAAAATGAGTTTTCATTATCCTTTTAATTAGTTCCAACTGTACCTATAAGTGTATTTTGATGTCCGAAGCTGGCAATATAAAACATCTCAACTGTGAAGGGCAAATTACGCAGGAGGACAAAGCTTTCGTACATGCCCTGTAAAAAAATCTTAGACTTCTGCTCACCCCAGGAGTCAGGCTTATTATAAAACCAACTGCTCCAGACCCTTTGCAGCACAATGTTATGAACTACTTAAATAGGGTAACTTCAGTTCTTTCCCTTTGTTCCTTTAGTTGCACCACTTACATGGACAGAAGCTGGAGCTGAAAGTTCACAACTAGCGTGCACCTAGCCCAACCACACAGTACCTGTCCAAGAGTTCCCAAGCTGGAGCACAAAGCTGTTCCCTGAATGTTTCAGTATCCTCTAAAAGATTCAGCAAAGCTGTGAGAGTCATGGTAAGACACCATAGACAGTGCAGATGAAACACCACTCCCAAGCTTGTTCTGGTCTCCAAAATAAAGGAGACAACATCAATACTGTAAGCAATAACAACACTTGCAATTACCCAAAACAGCTCTCTGTTAACTACCTTCCTACAGTGGAAGGACATACTGAAAGCACTGCAAAAAACATCAAACAAGAAAACCACACACCCCCCGTACACGCTCTTTGAAATATCAGAGACAGAGCAAAACCTCTCAGCAAAGTGAAGATTATGCTTCACTGCATTTATCATACAAGTTTCATATTTAATCAAACATCATCTTTATTTCTACAGCAGCAGCAGCAGCCAGACTGGCATCTCATTCTCATACAATTAGTTTCCAACTCTTTACACCACATAGATCTCATTGCATGTGGTGCTTATATGGACTGAAGTCAACAGAATAGTTACTCCTGAAGCTCACAGATCAAGAGAAGCGCTGGAGAATATTTACCGTCAGCAGTAATTTACTTAGTCCTACACAATTTCTGTCTGCATCATCTGTGAGCATAAAGGATAGGAAAGAGAGGGGTTGACTCAACTGCTTTACACTTGAAGCCTGAACTGAAAAGCAGACCTGATCACGCTGTAATCGAGAGCAATCCCAGAGAATGGTCCAAACTTAAGGAGGTAAAGGCAACATAAACGTATACCTCTTTATTAACAAATTCTACCACGTCTAAACAAAAACCTGTTTGCAAGTTTGTTATTTTAGCTTCTCAGAGTACAGACCACAAAAACATTTTCAAGTTGGTCTTCAAACAAATGAGAAGTTTTCAAGCTCAGGGACCCACCTCTCCCAGCAGTACTCCCAGAACCACAACGGCGCTCACCAGCATAAGGAGACAACTTACATACAGCCAGCTCATACTGCCCAAGTACAAAGTGCTCAGTAGAAGCACCATGTCTAGGACTGCTGCAAGTGCAGTAATTTAACCACTGTAAGAGATGTCACCCCTGCCTTACCGTCACTCCCTCTCATTACGTCCTTGCACAAAGCCCAATCCCCAACACCAACTTTCTAACATTATTTTACACAATCCCCATTAAACAGCTTGATGAAGCGACAAAGCACACATGCTATAAACACACAAAGCTGTATTTGCAAAACCTTAGTTTCACACAAATTTCAGGATGCTCTATAGCTATGCCCTTTTCCTCTTCTCTCTTCCACGTAGACGAATTCATTATATCGGACCAGCACATTAAAGTCTGTTCAGAAATGACTGCACAAGTGTTTGGAGAGGTGAACATGTAGTCTCTATTACCAATGTAAAGTTCTCTGCTTATATCTGGCAGGGAAACACTTAAGATATAATCTCATGCCTCATTACACCCTTGTTCTCAGAGAAAAGTAAAGGTACTGAGGAATCAGTGAAAGTGATTTATATACTTATGAAAAAAGTTCTCACACAGAAGTCCTCCACAGCGAGAAAGTATAATGAGAACAGCACATTTCCAACACAGTCTCAGACACCCTGTATATACACAAACTTTAGTCCTGGCCATAAACTTTCCTTCATACTGAAACAAAGCCGGGAATGCTCAGGCTAGGGGACCATCCTGGCTGACGAGCAGCCAGCAGCAGCACCCGTGGCTCTTCCCACCCCGAGCCCCTCAGTCTCCCGGCAGCTGAGGACTCGCAAGAAGGAAACCAGCCTGAATCCAGGCCAGCACCCTGCACTTCGGGGGAACATCCGACGGCGCCACACAGCTCCCAGTGCCGAGGACAGTGCAGGAGGGCTCCCTCCAGCCACACCAACCCCGGGATCTTTTTGTGAGCTGTTACATACTTAGGTTTATACAGAGCAGTAGAGTTTGAAAGTAATGTTATATGTGATGAAGACAAAATGTGTTATATCATACTTAAGTGTAATTGATATAGTAATGTAATTGATATATGTAAAATTAAGTATAAAAATCATGTTGGTTTATATTAAATAGATCAGTTACAAATTAGTGTGGGTTTTAATGGATACATTATGTCACTGGTAGTGTAGGAGTATGAAATACCTGTAGTTTGGGATTCTGAAGGTAGTCATCTCAGTCTTTTTGCTCAGGATTTGTCATGAGGTTCTCTTACAGTATTGAGACTTTTGAATTATTTGCTAATAAACTGATAATCAGGATTTATAATTATACTGTATACATTCCTTGCACAAACCGATTTCTTTTGGCTTTTATTTTTATTTATGTTTTTATGACTGAAGCACAGTTTTAGCTAGGGCTGTCTTTCATGTATCATTTTCATATACTGCAACGGGAACGGAAGCCACGCGCGGAGCCCCGCCCTCTGGGTGCTGGTTGGCTGTATTGCCTGCCACTTAGAGTCTTGGGCACCTATTGGGTAAGCCTCCTGTCCGTTTGGCCCTCTTCGGCCTTCTACTGGTCGCTTTGCCCTTCATTCCAAACAGACGCTCACCCTCTGGCTGGGATAACCTACCGTTGCGCTTGGCCCCGCCCCGGAGGGAGGCCACGCTCGTTCTCGACATCTTACTGGCTACCAGGGGTCGCAGTGGCGCGAGGCGGGATCTTGAGCCCTCATTGATAATCGATTGGACGAAAGCGGTGTCAGTTACGTCAGCCCGCGGCGGGCGGGGGGGCACTTCAGGCGAACTGCAGCTTAATTATGGTGGGTTTTTTTTTTTGGTAGCACGCAGCAGCATTGGCGTGTGCCCGGCGCCTTACTGGGGAAGGGGCGCAGGTGGCCATCGGCTCCCTGGGGAGCTCCTGCCTGGAGCAGGGCAGGCGGAGGTCCGACACCCAGCTTGAGCCCCCGCGGGCAGCTCGGCTCCCTGGCGGCAGGGCCGGGTGGGTGCCCCAGGCCCGGCCGCGGCGTGCAGGAGCTCCCCGGGTGCTGTGCGCCTCCTGGGGAGGCCTCCAGGCCGAGGCAGGGGATGGGGAGGAGGTGTCCGGGCCCCTGCCAGGCCAAACCTGACCTGGCCCGGGCTTCGAATAGTAAAGAGCCCCTTTGCGAGACTGCGCCTGCTGGGGCCTGGGCAGGGGCTGCTGACTGGTTTTAGCCCCCATGCCTGGTTTTAGCCCCACCGAGCGAGACCAGCTGGGGAGAGGCGGGTTTAACCCCCTCCTGGGGGTGAGGGGTCTGTCCTCACCTCTCAGGGCCGCGCAGGATCTGTTATGGATGATCCTGGGTCCAGCCCTCCTGAAGGAGCAGTCCCATTTGGACAGGAGCTGTGTTCCCTTCAGCAAGAGGCGTAGGTTGGGCTCTAGGTATTGCTGTGCTCATCTGAAGTCCCGCTTGCTGCAAGGTCTTGGTGTAACGTTTGCTTGAGGTGTGTTTGCAAGGTCATTTCTCCTACGCAGGACAAGAGCAGCAGGCTGGTCTTGCAGAAGAGCTTTTGCAAATTGCTGCTGAA